ACCTGACCACAAGCACTGTCCCCACACCGACCCCTGTGCCCCCTGGGGGCGTCTCCCCCACACCTTCTCCCCCTGTAAAGCTGAGCAGGGACCTGGTCAGTGGACTCCTGGGGACAAGCCAGTCTGCAGGGAACTGCAGAGAGGGCTTTTTCCTTTTGGAGGAGGAGGAAGGAAGGGCTTGGGAGGGACCGCGCGGAGGTGATCCGTAAGGGCACTCAGGGAGCCTCGGAGAGGCCCCCAGGAAGGAGAAGGGACCTCACTTTCACTGGCCTCGCTTCATGTCACCTGAACCTGGCTGCAGCGGCAGGACCCCGAGTCCAACAGCACAGACAGATCTCAGCAGGAGAGGTGAGATGCCAGCGAGGTGGGGTGCCAGCGAGGCTGTGCTCGGAACACAAGGGGCGTGAGGGCCCAGATGCCCGTCACTGTGGGTCGGTGTGCCCGCCACCAGCTCTGCCCGCCAGCAGCTCTGCCCGCCACCAGCTCTGCCCACCACCAGCTCCCCCGAGAGCAGCCACCTGCACTCCTGCAGGGCTCACTCCCACCTGGACTGGAGACGCCCCGAAGCCCAGAACCAGCTCCGCTGCAAAGATCAGCCCATCGCATGGGACAGCGCGGCCCCTCCTGATGGGCAGCCCAAGGCTGGTCCCTCCTCTCTTGCTGAAGGCCAGGAGCTGCTGCCCCTCCACGACCTGGACAGCATCAAGCCAAAACCTCCGGAAGGAACCCTGTCCCTGTGGAGTCCAGCCTCCCATCAGTAGGGTAGAGGCCACGGGCGTTAAAATCTGAGGGCAAGGAGACTCATGGGGGCTCGACAGTCACCCCGCCATTTGCTGGCTTGGTGCCCTGGGGCAAGTCGCTGGAACACTGGGCCCCGCTCCCCTCTGGGGGAGCACATGCCCATGTACCTACAGCCCCTCACCTCGAAAGCTGAGAGGCTCATCGACGCTCCCTGTAAAAATACCCAGTAATCACCCCTAAAAATAACCCTGACCTCTGCCACATTTTCCTCTTAAAATGTCACTTGATCTTGAAGTTAGAAGGTATTTTGCGGTGAATTGTGTCCCCACAAAAAGAGACACTGAAATTCCAGCCCAGAACCTGTGCGGAACTTATTTGGAACCAGGGCCTCTGTGGGTATGAGGCCAGGAGGAGGGGGCAGGAGCAGGTGGACCTGCGTCCAGGAAGAGACCGAGGCACAGGGGGAGAGATGTGGGGACAGAGCAGGAAGCCTGTGGCCCTGTGACCTGAGGCAGAGTCTGAGTGACGGGGCTAAACGCGGAGACGCAGCAGGGGTCACGGGCGGCCACCAGAACCTGGAGAGGTGGTGGTCTCCCTCTGAGACCCAGAAGGAACCCGTCAGCCACCCTTGATCAGGGGCTTCTGGGTTCCAGAAATGGGAGGGAAGAAAGCACTGCTGTCTTGAGCCTCCCAGTTTGTGGTACTTTATTCTTGTGCCCAAGAAAGTGGAGCCCGAGGGTCACTGGGTTTCCCTACCACCTCCCGCCCCAGTTCTGCCCAGGGGTCGGGCTCCGCTCCACTACCTCTGGTAAGAGAAAACCAACTCCTGTCCACTGCCTTCCACCCTGAAGACGCCCGGCTGTCTCTCCTGCCCTCGGGAGTCCTCCCCGAGCACCTGCTGAAGCCAGGCACTGTCTGCATTTGTGCTGCACCAACAGGAAGAGCAGGGGCAGCAGCGAACATGGAAGAGATGTCAGAAGCATTCTCTAAAAAACAAGGTCATTTCTGATATAGTTTCCAAGAAAATAAAACAATGCAATATAACAGAGCAAGTGGGCTAGGGACCAGAGGAAAAAGGGACATCAGTTGATGGTTTAGAGAGGGTCAGGCTGAGGATGTGATGTTGAAGCAGACCTGAATGACAAGGAGGTGCTCAGGGGCAAATCTGATGGTGGGGAGAGCCAATGCAAAGGCCCTGTGGCAGAGCGAGCTGGGTATGCTAGAGGCCCAAAAAGAAGGTGAGACCTTTGTGAGTGAGAGTGGTACCTGCTGAGCTGGAAAAGCAGGTGAGGCTGGCCAGGACCCGTAGGTCACCTGGCAGACCATGGGAACAGGTGAGAACTTCTCCACAAGGGAACTGAGAAGCTTCAGGGAGAGATGGAATGAGGCAGGCGATCCAGGTCCAGAAGCTGAAAGCTTTCTAACGATGAGGTCTGTCCTCTGGTCCTCGGACCTTGTCAACGACAGCCCCCAAGACCCTCCTGGCTCATCAGCACAGGTCTAGCACTGGAGTGAAGGGCAGCGAGTCTCCTTGGTTCCCCCGGGTCCCTCACCAAGGTCCTGTCACAGGAGAACACGGCATCCTGATCAGACAGCCGGCAGACCCTCCCGGGTCTAGAACTGCACTTCACCAGTGGGGCCCCAGGTGGCCCCGCTTTTAGTGCTGTTTTGTACCCTGACCTGCCCAGGCGTGGTCAGGCCCCCTCCCCAGGAGTCCTCGTGCCACGCAGGTCTGGAAAATGGGACGGAAGCCTCTCTTCCCCAACAGAACAGCTTGTCCTTAAAGGGGAAAAAAAGAAGTGCTACCTGCCCCAGCAGTGCCACGTACAGAACACTGAGTCAACAAACACGGCACCTCCTCCCCGCAGCCCTTGTCTTCCGGGAGGGGACAGGAAAGCCACCAGGGCAGGTTTCCCTGGAGTGGCCTGGCTCTGGCCCCACACATCTGAAGACACCTGGGCTCTTTGGAAACCCAGGCACTTGAGCAAAGCGCCCGTCCTGCCCCGTTTCTCAACCATCATAAACAAATCTGGGTTGACAGTGCAGCTGCGCTGGCCAGCTTGGGGTGAGCTGGGGAGGGCACTCTGCCCCAGGCCTTTGGGGGAGACGGGGTGTCTGGCTGGAGGCCCATTCCACCAGATACCAGCTCCACCTGCACCCCTGGGGGCGGCTGCCTCGCCCAGCCTTGGCGGCTGGGATTGACACCGCGCTCTGCCTGCACCAGCTGAGCGGCTCTGGGCACGCCAGCCCCAGCTCCGTCAGTGGTATGGGAGCCCCATGTCCCAGGCTCRTCTAGAAGATGGATCGGGAGCTCTGGAGCGCTTTGGAAGGGAGGGCTGCTATGGGCGGGGACTTCCCTCATCTCTGTGCAGTTCCTTCCTGCTGCTGGGTGAGTTTTTAACACGGCTTTTGATATTCCTTTGAATGAACCCATCATTTTCCTTTTGTGAAAGGAGGCGGGGGTGGAGGGAGAAGGAACTAGGAGGCAGGCATCGGCATGACTCGCCCACCTGAACCTTTCCCAGGGCCTAACGAAGCCCCCTTCACCTGGAGCTGCCATCCAGGGACCTACCTTTGGAGGTACAAAGCCTGGTCATAGAGAGAGTGGCACATCTGCTGTTTGCAGACTCCCCACATGTGGGACACTCCAGCAGACTCCCAAGGCCAGTGATCTATCCCCATCGTGGGTGGCTTCTTGTTGCCTTGAGGTGTGAGATTGTCCAGTAGCAGGACGGACACAAACCATCGACAGACAACCACCAGAAACCCAGGACAGCCACACAGAGGCTAGAGATAATCTGCCCGTCACCAACCCATGACTCCCTGTGCCTGAGTCCTACGCCACCTTCATCTCTGATGGAAAAAGAAAATCTCATGAGTCAACTTTTTCAGTGAGCTGATCTCGACAGCCCGCTGCCCTGCGCTTCACAGGCGTCCACAGCGCTATTTCTGAACAAAGTGGAGATAGAACCCCAGGCAGCTGGAGGGGAGACCTGCAGAGCAGGGGCTCCTCCACTGGTGCCCACGGAAGGCACTCCGCTCACTCCGCCTAGGCCCCTTCGCTCAGGGTCAAGCATTTTGGCCATCCTGCCTCAGGTCTAGGGCAGAGGCCGCCTCCGGTCAGAAGAATCAGAAGCATGAGCATCAGGCTGGGGGCTGGATCTTGGCCAGGCGGGTGGCCTGGGTCTGGACACTGTCAGCTTGCCTCTAACACTGACTCACCTCAGGGACGGGTTCCGTGGTGGRCACCTCCCCTGTGCCAGCTCAGAGGTGAGTCCCTGCTCAATCTGCAGGTGGGCACTCATGCCCRGCACTGACCCAGAGAGGAAGAGGAGCTGGCCACTACAAAGCCTCTTCCTCTTCCCCTTTTGATCTTCCCACGTCCAGTCGACCTACAACCTAGGGAAACATGAAGCCAGTAGGAGGGGGCAGGCACCAGTTCCAGGAAGACCAACACCTGGACACTGGCTCCGCTCCCTGAGCCAGCTGTCCTCAAGGAGCTCCAGAGCCACGGCCACACTGCTGTGCCCTCCATAACCCGCTATGCTCAGGGACCTCAGGAGCAGAGGGGAGCGCTGCGGGGCACCGGCAGAGCTGACCCGGCAGCCCCTGGGTCAGGGACCGCTTTTCCTCCACCCCGCCTGCCAGCCCCGGAGCACCAGGCTGCACCCTCAAGCCCACCACTCACACAAACGTGACCCACAGCCCTGCGCCCAGGTCCTAGCCACCCTCCCAGCAGGTCCTTCCAGGAGTCTGGGTTTCTTGTTTTCCCGGAGTCTACACCCCAGTTCCACCCCGAAGCCGCGGAGCCACAGCATCTGCTGACCTCAGCCAAGGGGCAGCCTCTCTCGCCATCAAGCCCCCTTGCCCTAGTACCCTGCCTCCTGCAAGCCAGGACCCCGTCGAGACCCCGGCCCTCGAGGACCCACGCCCTTGGCAACCACGGACCCTTCCTCCACACCTGCCCCCATCCTGCTCTCCGGCGGAGACCCCCTCGTTGTCAGTCTGCGAACCTCGACCTGTCACCTCGCGGAGGTCCCAGCCTTTGTCGCCCAGCGGACACCCAAACCCTTGCCAACCAGGGGAGACCCACGTCCTTGTCGCCCCGCGGAGCACCTCGTCCCGCCAACCCGCCGCGCTGCCATCTGTCACCCCTGGCAGAACCCGCGTCTCCAAAGATCCCGTCCCGGGCACGCAGCTCCCCCATCACTCCCGGGCCACCCCCTCTCGAACCCGCAGGCGACCCTCGGCCCTCTCACCGTGGCGGGCGGCCGGCAGGCAGAGGACCGGGCTGCAGGCGGGCGCCGTCCGGTCGGCGGCTGCGACGACTGCGCCGAGCGCTTGCAGCCGGGTCCTTCCGAGGCTCCGCGGCCAGCTGTCAGTCAGCCGGCCCGCCCCGCCCGTCTGCGCAGGCGCGGAGCCCCGCCCCCGCCGTGGCGTCACGGGACGGCGGCGCGGCCTGCGGGGTCCGCCTGGTGCGCGACTCTTCCGCGGTCCTGGCTCGGGGCTCCCCGCCGCGCAGGAGCAGTTACCTGGCCTCAGGGCTGGAGGAGGAGCCCCGCGAGGAGCCAGGGCCGCGGTGCTGGCCTGGTGCTGACCCGGTGTCCCTGGCCCGGCGGCCGCACCTTCCCTGCACCGCAGAGCCGGGGTCGCCCCAGAACCGGCGTCTCTGCACAGCACCAGAGTCGGGGGTCCCCGCAGAGCCGGGGTCGCCCCAGAGCGAGGGGTCGCCCCAGAGCCAGGGTCGCCCCAGAGCTGGGGTCTCTGCACAGCCGGGGTCACCCCAGAGCCGAGGGTCTCTGCACAGCCAGAGTCGCCCCTGCGTCTGGGTTGCCCCAAAGCTGGGGGTCTCCGCACAGCTGGAGTCGCACCAGAGGGGTCTCCGAAGAGCCGGGATCGCCCTAGAGCCGGGGGATCGCTGCAGAGCCGGGGTCGCCCCAGAGCCGGGGTCTCTGCACAGGAGGTGGCCCCAGAGTCGGGGTCCCCGCAGAGCTGGGGTCCCACCAAAGTGGGGGGTCTCTGCACAGCCGGGGTCCTCCCAGAGCCGAGGTCGCTCCAGAGTCAGGGTCTCTGCAGAGCGGGGATCGCCCTAGAGCCGGGGTCTTCCAGAGCCGGAGTTGCCGCAGAACCAGGGGTCGCGGCAGGGCCGGGGTCGCTGCAGTTGTGGAAGGGTCTCTGGATGATGAGGCGGGGTGCTGAGTTCAGGATCTTTCCAGGAACACGAGAAACTGGAGGCCCCCTTCAGTTTGTTCCACCTCCAGAGAAACAGACAAAAACCTGAGCTACCTCTAGCGGAAGCCCTTAGCTCTAGAAGGGAGCAGAGAGACGGACACCCCTACTCGCTGACCTTGGGGTCTGTCGAACTTGGCTCCGGCACCCAGCAGAGTGGAGCTTCTGACTCCGCGGAGTTGGCTCTGGCCCTCGGGTTTCTGAAGACACTCCCTGAGCCACCGGGCTGCACCAAAGTGCTGCTTCTGTGGGGCTCTGCTGAAGTGACGGGTCAGCAGTGGGGCTGAATGTGTTACAGCAAGGTGGGACTCATGCTGGGGACCCAGAGTTCTGCCACTCAAGAGAAAAGAGGACAGTGTGCTGGTGATGCAGGGTCAGCCCATGCCCCAGGCTGGTCCTGTTGACTGTGGACTTGCTTGGAAAAGTTTAAGGGAACAACAGTGTTGGAAACTGCAGTCCCACAGGGTTGGGGACCTTCAGCACCGAAACTGTTCCGGTTCCTCCTGGTTTGCTTGAGGATTTGGGCCTGGCCACTGGGGAAGAAGCTGGATCTCGGGGTGCCCAAGCTTGGTGTGAACTCAGGAAGGGAAGGTAGCCTTCCATTCCCTCAAGTGGACACTACAGAGAAGTGGCATACTTGGTCTCTGTTGGGCTCTGCCTGTGTGTGGCAGAATACAAGTGCCATCTTGGGGAACTTGTGGGAATGGGGGACTCCTGCAGTGGCTAGAGAGACACACCCTTAGAGTGGGTGAGCTGGGCACTGCACACTGACTGGACAGTCCTGATTTGATCTGGGCAATACCAGTGCTCTCCCTGAAAAAGTGTGAGTTCATTGAGGTCAGATTCCATTTGGGGGGACATCATTTCTCCTAAAGGACTCATGCAGCTCTCTGCCCCTTCATCAAAGGTCGTCTGACCTTGCCAGAAAGCTGGACAGAGGCATATGAACATGGCCATTTCAAAAAAGAGGAAGAGAGTTTGCAAACCACAGACTACCAGCAAACTCCACATCAGGCCTGGGAAATAAATACTCAGGACAGACAAGTCATGGAGATGTACCTGTGACCTCTCCAAAGAGAACGCACCAAGGACAAAGACCACGTTTTGGTCAGTTAACCTTGTTTCCTGCTGTGAAATGTATAGCTAAGGAAGTATGGTGGACACTGTTTCTGGACCCAAAGGTGTAATTTAGAAACATTTTTTCAGTTATGAGTGACAAAAACTCCATTTGAGTTGATTTTATTATTAATTTATGTATTTTTTATGATATAGGGGGTTGAATCTGGGTGTACTGTACCACTGAGCTATGTCCTCAGCCCTGTTTATTTTTTGTGACACGGTCTTTTTAAATTGCTCAAGCTAGTCTTTTTTTTTATATTTATTTTTTAGTTGTAGTTGAACAACAATACCTTTATTTTTATTTATTGTTATGCGGTGCTGAGGATCCAAACCAGGGCCTTGAACGTGCCAGGCAACAACTCCAGCCCATCAAGCTAGTCTTAAACTTTTGATTCTCCTGCCTTAGGCTTCAGAGTAGGTGGGATTATAGGCACGTGCCATCACGCACAACTTCAAGTTGTTTTTTTTTTTTTTTTAAGAGAGAGAGAGAGAGAGAGAGAGAGAGAGAGAGAGAGAGAGAGAGAGAGAGAGAGAGAGAGAGAGAGAGAGAGAGAGAGATTATTTATTTTAGTTTTTTTCGGGGGACACAACATCTCTTGCTTGTACGTGGTGTTGAGGATCGAACCCGGGCCGCACGCATGCCAGGTGAGCGCGCTACCGCTTGAGCCACATCCCCAGCCCCTCAAGTTGTTTTTTTAAGAGAGAATGTGATGCTGGGCGTGGTGGTGCACACCTGTCACCCCACCAGCTCAGGAGGCTGAGGCAGGAGGATTGAAAGTTCAAAGCCAGCCTCAGCAACTAGGAAGACCCTATCTCAAAATAAAAAGGGCTGGGGATGTGGCTCAGGGATTGAGTGCCCCTGGGTTCAATCCCCAGTACCAGGAAGAACACAAACAACAAAACCCCAAAACCTCAAATAGAGGATAAGTCCAAATAGGCAGTTACACAAGATGCAGCAGCTAGTGCGACTTACTATCAGTTGTTTCCACCCAGCCACAGGCCTATCTTTCTCTCTCCCCTGCTTTCTAAATGACCACCACCAACCTAGTGGCTCACAAAAACACAGATGTATTGTCTCGCAGCTCTGGGGGTCAGGTTCCAGAATTGAGGTATCAGCAGGGCTGGTTCCTGCTAGGGCCCCTCCTGCTCCAGAATCCCAGTGCTCTGGGTAGTTCCCCAGGCTTTCTCCTCCTTTTGTCACAGGAGAAAAATGTCTCCAGAGAAGGGTCCTAGGAGTTCCCAGGGGGGGGAGAGCTCAGCTTAGGACCAGCGGGGTTCTTGGCATTCACGATGGAGAAGAACTTCAGCACCAGCCGCACAATGGCAGAGACAGAGGTTTATTTGGGAAGGCCGATATGCGTTCAAGGGAGAGTGTCTGGAGAGTGAGGGGCCCTGACCCAGGCTGGGGGTCTGACCTTTATAGAAGGCTGTACCAGGGGCTGGACTGGAGGTGAAGCCGGGTGGAGCTGCACAGTTTTCCTGCGCTTGTGTATTTCCCTCATTTTACGAGGGCCAAGGTTTGCAACTGTTTTGTGCATCTCCCGTAAGATTCCGCATTTCTCTCTCCTTGTCCCAAATCCCTGTCACTTTCACTGGGAGCACAGCTAGCTGTGCCTAGTGTCTCTGCCTGGGCTCTCCTGGTGGCTCCTTTGGTGTGTCAGGGAGCACCAGGAGGCCAGCAGTGCCCGATTCCCTGCTGGTGGAGTCTCCTTACCCAGGGGTGAAGGTGGTCACGTGTTCTCCCTTGCACAGTTCCCAGGGGGCGCTTACCCTGCCGCGTGGCGCAGTGAGGGCAGTCTGTCTGTGACCGCTGCAGAACACTGCCTTAACCCCGTCACCTTGACCTTCCCTCTCCCCATCCTTGGTCCTTTTCAGCCTGCAAGTGCGGTCAGATCCTCCAGCGGCCTCCCTCCCCCCCCTCAGATAAGGCCAGAGTCCATCACTAGGCCCTGCTCAAGCTCCTTGGCCAGGCCTCACCTGTGCCCTTTGCCCTCCACATGCTGACCCCACACCGGACTCCCAACAGCCCCCGCACCTTCTCACCTCAGGCCTCCCCACCTGCCCCTTTGCCCGAACCCCCTCCTTCTGCCCCCCSACAGTTAACGCCCCACCCTTCCTGGAGGAAGCTAGCGTGAGACAGGTCAGGTGCCTCTGGCCGCCATCCCAGCACGCGGTGTCTTTCCTCTGTCGGGACGAGCAGGTCTGTCATTCTGCTTGTGGGTGACGCCAGCTCAACACCGCTCGTGTCTGCAGCACCTGCTCATTCAGAAACTGCCGAATGCATCRAGGAGTTTCGGGGCGCAGGAGCCCAGAGGAGGCCCCGGGGTGGCGTCAGGGCTCACTGCTKGGAGGCTCAGTGGATGGGGTGGGGATCTGACTTTGGGGGACCCTGTCGAGCGTCAGGGAGGCAACTGGGTGCAGAGCTAGGGCAGCAGGGGCGTGGCCAGCCAAGGAGGCAGAGCCAGGCAGGTGGCGCTAGGCTTACCTGTCCCTCAGCTGCCCCAGGCGGACACCTGGTCCACAGGGAGGCCAGGACGCAGTGCCTCTGAGGACAGGACAGACGGGGCTGAAGCCTGGCTCGCCACCTCCCTGCTGGCCTGTTTGTGGCTTGCACTGCCACCCTGAGTGCTTACCAAGGGCCTGCTTTTATGGGCCCTGGGGGCAGCTGTGAAGGGACCAGCAGAGCTCCCCTGGGAGGAAGAGTGAAGGGTAAGGGGGCCAAACGTGACGGGAACCGGGCAGGGAGGGAGGCAGACACCCACGCCCCATCCTGCATTCCGTGACTGTCCACTCTCAGCCAGGCTCCACCCAGCAGGCTCCACCCACAGGCCAGGTGAGGTGGCCAGTGCCGAGAATCCAGGAACCATCACACCACGGTGATTTAGAACTCCTGACAAATTCACCACCACAAACCCCACTCCTGCCTCAAGTGGGAGCCCGCAGCAGGGTGGTGTCCTGCCGAGGATGCCTCACAGCCAGCACCCTGGCCGAGAGGTGGGAGAGCAGGGAGCCCTGC